TTAAGAGGATAATATATTTTTATATACCATATTTTAACATTTTACTCTCTGTTTTTGGATTGGTCTTTGTTTCTCTATTTTTTCCCCCTCCTGTTGTCGTTTTGACTTGTGACCTTAATGCTGGATGCTCTGGTATTGCCAGGCTAAGGATCCTGCTCGTTCATTAAGTTTTACTGCCAAGTTAGATCCTAAGGCTTTGTCTTCATTAGGGAAGCTGGATATTTCTCTTGACCCATTCAGAGCATTGAGAGGAGTCTTGTCTTCTCCTGCTAGCATAGAGGGAGGGTAGGAGGGGAGAAGAGAGGGCACTTCAGCATGGTCAGTGGTATTCTGAAAACCAGAAAGGAAAAGAAAGGATGCAGAGAGCCCTCAGAATCCATGTGTATTCCTCTTTTCTGCTTCCATTATGCTTCACCTTTCCAAGACTGCAGTTTTTTTAGCTGAATTTTTCTGGAGAGCAAGCCTCTATTCCATACAGGGAGAAGCACAGTTGAAGAAGATGCTTGGAGGTGTAGCCACTCGGGGTTACTCAGGCTTTCAAGCAGTCCTTGCTCTCAGTGCCTTATCCCTATCTTTACTGGTACCTGGTATCTATGGTTGCTGAGTCTCTTAGGAGTTTTGTGGGCCACACTGACTGATCTTTCAGCAACCCCTATTCTCCAGCCATGGATGCTTAGGGCTCAGCTTCCTTTTCTCAGCTCTGTCAAGTTCATTACCAGTCCTTGATCTCCTTTTCATTTGGGAAAAATTTTTTAAATCTCTTTTCCAGTGTTGTCTTTTCTCTAGCTATCTTTGTCATTGTTTTTTTTCCCCTTGTTATTTTATTTCATTTTCACAGAAGTGTTTTTTATTTTTTATTTATTTATTTTTTTTGTGCTGGGTATCATGACCTCATGCTTGCCAGGCAGGCACTGTGCCACTGAGCTATATCCTCAGCTATTATTTCATTTTTATTCATTTGTAGATGAAAAATAGGATTTGGTGGAAAAGAATAAGAAATATCTATAATCATGATTTACTGCAACTCTGTCCACTTACCAAGATCAAATAATTCTTCCAAGAAATATCAGCTGGGTTTATCTTTCTTTTCTTTTTTTCTTCTGAGACAGAGTCTTGAGCTCACTATGTAACCCCAGCCTAGTCTCAAACTCATGGCAATCCTCCTGCCTCAGCCTCCTGAGTGTTGGGATTACAGAAGTCTGCTACTATACCCTGTGTATTCCTTTTAATTGAAAGATTCTTTGTTTTTTTCCCTCTGTGTTCCTTGGTGGAAGTGCAGGGTGATCCCCCATACATTGAAGTCCTCAAAGACACAAATGAAGAGAGAAGCTTGAATTATTTTTACACGTTAGCTAACTCTTCCTTTAAGCCTGATTTTGGAAAGACGAGATCTTTCATCTGTTTCCAAACAAAAAATTTGTTTGGAAAATTTATCATTTTCAGCTGTACACACTTTCATTTATAACTTTTGATCCTTTTTTGTGTATTATTTGACCCAAATATGCTTCTCAAAAATCCTCCTAAATGGTTACATGTGTGGAGTTTCACATGTCATAACTGGGCATTCAGGAAAAACCAGGTAAACATGAGCAGGCATCAGAGTAGTGGTAACACAGTCTATCAGAACTTCCTGTGGTGACTCATAGGGATTTTTCTGTGAGTTCCAGTGCCATCATCTAAGGCAAAGGCAAATTCATCCAGAGTGATGCAGATAAGAGGAACTTCAGGAAGACCTTCCTAAGGAAATGACTTTTGAACTGAGACTTTGCCAACAAAGTGACCAGAAGGTGCAAAAATGCTTTGCCTTTCTGAGAATAACCTTGGCATGATCAGGGAACCAGAAGAAGGCCAATATATTTGGAACTTTATGACAGGGAGAGTTTTCAGTGAGGACATACAATCCGAGAGGTTAACATGAGCCAGATCAAGTTGGGTTTTATAAGACCTGATAAGGAGTTTAGCTTGTGCTCTAAATGGATTGGGAAGCCATTGGAGGATTTCAAGCAAGGAAGTTATTGAGTGGACCTCTTTTAAAAAGAAGGTGGTCTGCTGCAACATGAGAGTAGATGAAAGTAGCAAAACCAAGATGGGAGCCTATTGCTTTAATCCAGGTGAGAGATGATAGTGGTTTGGGATTAGGGAGCAGTAAAAGAGATGCACAGAAATAGGCAGATTTGTAATATGCTTTGGTTGTACAACCCACTGGACTGCTTAGTAGATTGTGTATGAGTGGTGAAGTCTGATGTGATCCTAAATCTATTCAGTAGTCTAATGACTGGTTCCCAAATTACTGAATACTATGCTTCTGAACCCTAGGATTAAATAAGTGTTTCGCATAATTCATGTTGTGGGAATTTACCAACAAATTCCATACTGTAAGGATAGATAGAGATAATTATTTCATTAGTGATCTCATCCAATTTCCCAGGCTTGTGCCTTTAAACATTATCTAGATAACTACTGAGGCCTACACATAAGCGTGCAAGTCGTTCTCTTTCTTGAGCATCAGACTCATAGGCCCAACTGCTTCTTTCCCATAGAAATAGAACCTACTCCAAACTGAACTCGGAGCCTTGCCTTGTAACCTGCAGCCCCTGAACTCTTTCTCATCTTGGCTGGGACAACTCCAGTTTTCAGTTGCTAAATAAAGCAAAAGCCTTTGCATCATCTTGAGTCTTCCTACTGTTTCTTATACACTGTGTGCATTCCTTCCAGAATTCTACAATCATAAAACCTTCTAAATTGACCATGCCTCACTGCCACCACTTTCAATGCATCAATTGGCATCATCTTTTTAAAAATGTATGGGATTCTGTCTCAGTCCTTTTAGGCTGCTACCACAGAAGGCACAAACTAGGTGGCTTTTAAGTAACAGAAAATTACTTTTTATATTTTTAGAAGCTAAGTCTAAGATCATGGTGCTGATATATTCAGCGTCTGGTTCAAAGGTGACTCTTTCCTTATATGTCCACATGGCAGAAGGGCTGAGGGAGCTATCTGGAGTTTCTTTTATAAGAGAACTAATATCATTCATGAGGGCTCTGCCCTTATGATATAGATACCTCACCCCTAGTAGCATCGCACTGGTGATCAGGTTTCAACATACAAATGGGAGAGGAGGGGTTAATCATTCTAAACATCGAAGGGCCCAGCATTTTTCAGTACAGTAGGTCCAGTGGCTCTCAATTTTCCTTAAAATAAAAGTCAGCCTCTACATAATCTCCTGACTTCATCTCCTACTCAGATATTAGGAAGGGCTTTCTTTAAAGTTCCTTGCTATTTTGGAAAGCTTCTCACAAAACATCTTTAGTTGATTGAGTTTTAGTTCTCTCAGACATACGCAAATAAAAGAAATAATGGTCCTGCATCATGGCTACAAATCTTTCTGTAAAGAGAGCGTATCCTTTAAAGGAGTTGAAAAGGTAAGTGTGCCAAAATTCACAGTGGTAGGGGGCAGTATGTTGGAGCTGTAGCCCAGAATCATTGGCCAAAGGATGTACACAAAAGAATTACAGAATTACCTTTCCCTCTTTAGGTTACTCTGTTTATTTCACTTTGTTTAGATGGATGAGTCTATGTGACTTCACTTTGTCACTATGTGACTTCACTAATATTTCATTTGTCATTGCTAATTTTTTTATTAGTTTATAAATGTGAACTATTCTTTTCCTAACACTTTGTGAAGAAAGGTGAAGTATATACGGGCAGGAACTTGAAGAAGGATGACTAGAACAAAATCTTAGTGACAAACTAACCTTATCGTTTTCCTTAAAAAATGGTTCTACCTGATCAGGAGATAATTTATTTGGCTTTATAAATTGGCAGAATGTGGTCAGATTTAGAATATGTGGCATTATATATCCCTAAGTATTTCAGTAAGAAGAAGTATTTAGGTACTGTTTAGGTTATTATAACAATTGTGTTGAAATTATTGTGGGTTTGTTTGTTTGCAATGCTGAGGATTGAACCCATGTCCTTCACACTGAGCTTTGGGGCCCCAGCTCTTTTTCAAGTTTTTATTTCAAGTCAAAGGCTTGCTAAGTCACTAAGTAGCACAGACTGGACTCACACTTGCCATCTTTTTGCCTCAAGCTTCCAAATTTCTGGGATTACAGGTGAGCGCTACCATGCCTAGCTAAAATTATTGTGTCTTACTGGCCAATATGCTGTTATGGTTAATGATGAATTTAAGCCTGAAATAGTGATCTAAGAAATATGTTATTTTTGACCTATATGTCTATGGCTCAAGGTAATATGTTAATTTTTTTCAGAAGGAAAATGGTCTTGTTTTTTCTGATTATAAATCTAAGATAATTTGTATGCTATAGAAAATTATGAAGGAAAGGCCTATCATAATTTCTTTCCCCAAATAGTTGTTCTTAGTACATAAGTGTATTGTTACCACTTTTTTCTGTGCCTTTTTATATAAATATAAATATAAAGTAGGATCATAAGTGTACAGACTATTTTATAACCTTTTTTTAGTTGACAGTATATCAGGAACATACTGTTGACAACAAATCTGGATCTATAACCCCTTTATGGCCATATAATAAATGAAAAAGATGACTTTTCTTATTTCTAAAAATATAGTAGTAGACTAAATTAATCTAGGCTTGTCTGAAAGATTTAACAGGTATAGCGTATGCTTTAAAAGTATAAAGACATTTTATTTTACTGACATAATATCAACCACTAAACTAAAAAGACATTCAAATATTCTTAAGAAAATATAGTGGTGTTCTTAGTTGCTAAATATAAAATTTGTTTCTTTGGCAGCTACAACAAATATTTATTGAACACCTACTTGTGATTTAGGTTCTGAGAGTAGATTGGTGTACTAGCTGAAAAATCTGCTCTCAAAAAATGTATATTTTGAAGGATCAAAAGTGGATAATAAGCTAATAAGAGATAAGATAAAAATCAGACATTGAAGAGCACATATAGTATACTTTCATGGTTCTGAATTTTGCAAACTGAATCAAATTATATATTTTCAGGTTTGAAGACAATGAAGGACAAATAAATTATAAGTCATTTTTCCATGTCCTGAACTGGAAAACGAATCCAGTGTTGGAATTGCAATCCTCAAGTTACCTTAAAGAGGTAAAATTAACACCTATTTTAAAAATGAGCTCTGGCTACCTCCCTTGCATTTCAGTATCTGTATCTTTAAATTATTTTTCAATGTAAAATATCAGCATCAGTGCTTTTGGAAAGAATGCTTATGTGTTTCTGGGTATTTGTGTTCAAGGCTAATTCACTTTCCATGCTCTGCAAACATCTGCTCTGTAAAAGCATGACTTATGCCGCTGATTTTTTTTTAAACCTCAGTCATATCCAATTATATAGAAAATAGGATAATAGGTTACAGTTATAAATAGATAAAAACACCATTATCAAGGGATTCTGGTAACATCATCGTAAGCCACCAAGAGCAAATCTCCAAGGATGCTTGTACCGTGAAACCTAGTATATCTGTGGCTGCATGCACAGGTCTGTTGAGGGTGCAGCAATAGAGCTTGGGGATGTATGTATCATAGTGGAGCCAAATGTAAAATAAAAATTTAGTAGAAAAATGCTTGGTTAGGGAAAACAAAGTTCATGTGATCAGATGGTGTTCTCAACACTGTGGAATTGTCTGAATTCTCTAAGATCTCTTTGGACCAATTGTCTTTAAGGAGTGAGTGGGTGGGTGGAGGTTTGTTTGTATTTTAACATGCTCCAGAAATTGATTTTCTTGGGAAAGTCCCTTGATAAAGCAAATATCATGTGGTTGATGCTCCCAGAAAGGATGCATTTATTCCTCCTGGTCTCTGCTGGCTGATTCCTTCTGGCCTGAGCTGGTCTTGTGCCCCCTGGGAGTTTCCTCAGGCATGCAGCTACTCCAGAGTGTCAAGGACAGCTGTAGAACTTACAGATGGTTGGGGACAGTGGTGCCTGGGAGTCAAAACAGAGCTGAGTGATTTTGAATTATTCCATTTAACTTACCTTGTCATGTATAAATTTAATCCTTAGACAAATCAGGATTAAATATCTATCCTCAGTAGTCTTTGCTCTGTACTGGGGTCCAGCGACAAAGGTCCTCTTTACTACCCTTGAGGGACCCACTGCTGGGGAGTCAGAGCACTCACGATTATGAGTGCGGTGTGATACACCCTGCATGAGATGAGGAGGAAGCTGCTTCTATATCAGGTTGAAGGACAGGAAGTATTCTCGGAGAGGTGATGCTTGGCATTTCAGTGATGAATGAAGTGATGTGGAAAAGGTATTTGCTACTGACTCTGAGATTTGGGGCAGCACAGCACTTGAACAGAATCAGGAGGTCACTGGAGGGAAGGCCCACTTGGACTATGAAGCTGGAGATGCCTGCAAGGACAAGGCACATGTGAATATTGTCCTGGAAGATCTGGAGACCACTAATATTTATTTTAATTTTAAAATATTGTTTTAATTATACATGCTTATAGGGTACAGTGTCACACACATACACACACACACACACACACACACACACACAGTGTATAATGGTCAAATCAGTTTGTAGCATTTTCATCTCCTTAAACCTTTTTCTTTCAATGCTGGAGAATCAAACCAGGGCTTTGCACATGCTAGAAAAGTGCCCTGCCACTGAGCTACATCCCCAGCCCTGTTTTTAAAAAGTCTTAAGCATACATGATTAACACGTTTGATGAAAGAGAGCAACATGATCAGGGAGCTTGCTCTGACAGGGCAGTGGGTAGATTGGAGAAAAGGGGTGGAGACAGATCTACTGTGAGGTTGTTAGATGCCCCATCTTTAGGCACACTCACTGGGAGGCTCTTGATCTCACACTGTCACCACAGAACAGCAAATCACAGTATTTACTGGATTCCAACCCTGGCCTAAGATCTCAAAAGCTCTTAGTTCATTTAATCCTCATAGAAACCCTATAAAATGGGTTCTTTTTTCATTTCCATTTTAGAGATAAGGAAGTTAGAGATACAGGAAGTATATGGTAGAGCCAAAATTTTAATTCAGATCAGTTCTACTGTAAAGAATAAAACATGAGAAATGGTGACTGGGAGTGTAGTTCAGCAGTAGTGTATATGTCTGCTAAGACACTGGGTTCTAACCCCCACAGGAAAAAAATGAGGACAAGGAGGAGAAGAAAAATAAATAAAAGCACAAACAACTTTCAGAACTATAATTATTATTGAAGATAGTGGATTTAGTTCATCCAAATTCAAGATCGTATCACTAAAGTAAATCAATTCTATACTCTTATTTTCCGGGTAACTTTTAAATTTTATTTGTTTGTTTGGTACTGGGAATTGAACCCAGGACCCTGTGCTTGCCAGGGCTTGTGATGCTGAGCTATATCCCCAGCAACTTTTTAATTTTTATCTGTCTGATCTCTTCCTTCCTTCCTTCCTTCCTTCCTTCCTTCCTTCCTTCTTTCCTTCCTCAGTAGTAAGGATTAAACTCAGGGTATTCATACTGAACTGCACCCCCAGAACTTTCTGGTTTTTATTTGGAGATGAGGTCTTGCTAAATTGACTGGGCTGGCCTGAAACTTGCCTCGGCCTCCCAGAGAACAAGGATTATAGGTGTGTACCACTGTGCCTGATTGTGAATATTTTAATTTTATGTATGTAAAAGAAAGAAATGATAGATGGGTTGATACTCTGCCTTTTCATTTACTGTTCTTGTTTTCTCTTGTGGCTCTCATTCATTTGCCCCATCAGGACCTTCTCCAGCCCCTTCCACCTTGCTCTGAGCCTTCCCTTCTCTGCTCTGGCCTGTGCCTGATCTTTATGACTGTTTCTGTGGTTCTCAGAGCCCTTGAATTTTCAGTTGCTCAGTGAGATCCCCCAGCAGCAAAGTGGAGGGCGGGAGAAGAATGAAATAATTTCCCCTCCTGCCGGTCACACCCTCCTCCTACAAAGGACATAGCCTGTCTAGAGGTCCGATTCATGTGCAGTACCTGCCTACTCCTGTTTCTGGTGCCCACCCTCACATACCTGGCACACCCAGGTGGGTTTAATGGTTCCCTGCTCTTTTAATCTCTAAGGACTTGAGGTTTCCCTCTGTTGGTTTCCCTAAACATTTTCTACAATTTTGTTAATATTGTTAGCCCTTGTATACACAGGTTCTGTAGCCATGGAATCAACGAACCACAGATAGAAAGATATTCAAGGGAAAAAAAATTGTGTTTGTGCTGAACCTGTACAGACTTGTCCTTATTCTCTAAATAATACTGTATAACTATATAGCATTGACATTGTATTAATATTGTAAATCACCTAGAGGTGATTTTTAAAGTATATGGGAGGATGTGTGTAGGTCACTGGTGGCAAACCTATGGCACACTTGCTGCAGAGGGCTGTTTGTTATCATTTGAAAGCTCTCAAAGATTCACCATCACTGGTATAGGTTCTATCCAAATGCTTTGCCGTTTTATATCAGGGACTTGAGCATGCAGAGATTCAGTATCCATGGTGGGGGGGGGTGTTGTATAAGCAGTTGCCTTCACATACATACTGAGGGACCACTGTAGGCACTATTAAACTGTTATTTACTTACGACCTCTGTTTCCCATTACACTGAAAAGTGACACACGTACTTACTTTTCCTGGTTAGCAGCAGCCTTTGTTGGTCTTCTCCTTGCTTTCTACTTCTCTCTTGCATTCCACTCAGTCCACTTCCCAGTTCACCTCTGGCTGAAAGTTTCATCATTTATTTTACAAAATATGTTCAAACATCATGCATTTGTCTGCAGTGTGCTTTTGCTGTTTAATCACAGGAAATTCCTCCAGCTTAATGTGTATAGACCTGAGCCACTCTTTAACAGGTTTACTGTGGATATACAATAGTTTATTCAGCAGCTTGTATGTTAAGAGGCATTCACGTTGTTTCTTCTACTTTTTCTCAAGATGTGGGGTCTTACTACGTTAATTTCTATTTTCCTGATGATTGTTGAGCTTGAATGAAGTTTAGTCACCTTTTTATATACAATTCACAGTAAGAAAGACTTTTTCACAATCCAGTATGCAATATATAATGGAACAAAAGCTTTATAAAGTTATACTATTCTAACTACATATGGTGCAAAATAATGTATTCTTCTCTTTTTTCCTTACTCTCTTCCTCCCTTTGTCTCTTCCTTTCTTTTCCATTCTCTTCTCCCCTCCCATTCTCACTTTTGAATGTAACTCCTGACCCATTAAATTTGTGTCATGACCCTCAAAGTGATCACCACCCACACTGGAGGAGGAGTCACTGCGTGGGAAGGCCAAAGATGCACTGCTCCTGTAGTCGCCCCTCCCCCACGTCATCACTAACTGACTGTGAATTCAGACAGTTACTGGGCATGGGACCTCAGGCGTTTTAGAGAGACAGTGTAGAGCTGCAGCTCTGAGTCAGAGGGACTTTAGTTCAAGTCTTTAACTCCTCTGTCAGTTAACTGGGTGGCTTTGCACAAGTTACTTTCTTTTAGGTTCCTCTCTTTCTCTCTCTGTCTCTCCTTCCTTCCTTCCTTTCTTCCTTCCTTCCTTCCTTCCTTCCTTCCTTCCTTCCTTCCTTCCTTCCTTCCTTCCTTTAAGACAGTCTTACTATGTACTTCAGGCTGGCCTTGAACTCACTATGTAGCCCAGGCTGGCCCAGAATTGACAGTGATCCTCCTGCTTCAGCCTCCTGAGTGCTGGGATGACAAGGATGTACCACCACGCCTGGCCTCCATTTGTAAAATGAAGATTAGACTAGTTCCACCATTAAGGTTATTGTGAAGGCTGAGACAGTTACATGAAGCACTTGTTTTAATTCCCATCTTCAATTCCCATTGAAGTAAGGGCTTCAATATTTATTCTTTATTTTTTTATTAATCATTTATTTATTGTTTATAAAATAGAGTTGCCTTACCTTCCTGAAGTCAGGGGGCTATGCCCTGAGCAGTCCATTCCCAGGCTCACATAGGTGATTCTGTCCTAAATGTTAAGTATTAGGACATTTATAACTGGGAATGTCACACCTGAAAGAACCTCTTCTTCAGCAGTAGGCTCTTCCAATTGTTAGTCATCCATGGAGAGAACTTTACTCACAGGGGTCTCAGTAGTTCTGTTGGCCAA